TTTTTAGACAAAATGATTTATTATATATTTATTTATTTAAATTATTATTTTTGTCAAACAAATGTTTTTATTGTGATCAAGTCAGAAATAATCAATGGTACCAAAATAAATATATTAATTAAGTAGTCGGATTGATGGCTTTATTTATCCGATAACAAATTATGCATAGAGGGGTCAAAGTGCAATATTGACTTAAAGGTTATTTATTATTTAATTGGAGTTCAATTAATTTCTTTTAGTGGAGTAGAAATTAATTTATGAATTAATTGAATTGGGTTCATGGACCGGGCCAATTATTAATTCATTGTAGCCAATAAAATAATAGGCCCAATGGATTCTCCCTCATAGCCCAACTTGATATTGGAATCATATTAGATTCGAGACATGTGAATTAGAGATTGAGAATGATTTGTTGTTTCCTTTTTTTTTTTATTTTTATGTTGCCTATAAATATACATGGTCTATGTATATTTTAGGGGTGATTTTTATGAGAAGGAAAAAGGAATAAATTTTCTCTCTCTAGAAAATTAGGATTTATGTTCTCATCTAATGGAGGCTCCCACAAGCCTAGTTTTCCAAGGTAATTCATGGAGGCTTATGAGTGATTCCTAAAGGCAAAATAATTACTAAGAAGATGGAGATCTAAGGAGAAGACATCTTGCTAAGGGATTTACAATAAGTGAGAACATTCACTTTACAGGAAAGTTTTAAAAGTTTACTCAGACCTTTGATGTAAGTATTCAATCCATTAATTGAATGATACATCATATTTTTATTTTTACATAAAACTTGTCTCTATGTGATGAATCAAAATCTATTAATCAAGATTTATGAATCAAAATCTCTCGAAAAGTTTTTAAAACTTGCATGTTTCCCAACAGGGTGTACTATGTATAGTTTGTCCGGTGTTCTTCGTGCGGTAGCAGAGCTGGCTGCCTCAGAGCAATGTAGGATATAGTTCACGGGCACTCTGTGGTTACTGGGCTCTTGACTCGAATATGATTGTTGCGACATGGTAAATGGGTACTTGAACTTGAAGTGTGATCTTATATTGGATGCTCGCGGTGTGTTTGATGAGTTATTACCTGATATGAATGTTGTCAGGTGGAATGCTATGCGGGTTTGGTGGAAAATGAAATTGGATTGTGGGTTCGAACCTTGGCTTGAGCATTATATGTGCTTGGTGGGTGCAATGTGTTGAGCTGGGCGATTGGAGGTTGCTGAGAGGGTTGCGACGACAATGCCATTTGAGCCGGATGCAGCATTATGGCGTGCATTATTGTCGACCTGTGCATACCATGGCAATGCAGATTTGGCTTGGACAATGGCAAAACGCATGTTGGAACTCAACCCAAGTGATGATTCGGCTTATGTGATCGTCGCCAATGTATTTGCAGGTGAAGGAAGGTGGGAAGAAGTAAAGGAAGTTAGGAAGATGAATAAAGTAAGAGAATGAGGAAAAAAGGCGGGCGGAGTTGGATAGAGGTGTTGCATGAGATGAAGGATGGCAAGAAGTTGGCGGTGGCGTTTGGGTTGTTCAGTGGGGCTGCACCACCGGGGAAAGCTAGCTGCGCTTTACAATGTTGACAGAACAAAAAAATAAAAAACCCGAAATTTGACTATGTAAATGGGAAGGGAGGGAGGGTTGTACTTGTGGAGATTTTTGGTAAATGGCATGGTTTTCTTCCGGTAGCTGTAGATAATTCATTGGCTTCCGGTAGCTGTAGATAATTCATTGGCACGGTTTTCTTCAGGTAGCTGTTGCTTGGGTGGCTTTCACTCACGGGCAAGAAGACTGAAGCGACCACAATTTCATTCTATGCCATTTCAGGCCTACAAGTAGAAACTCTTGGTTGCCTCCATGCCCAGATAGGTGATTCATCTGCACTCTGCAATAGCCACATCAGAATGTCCCGATCAGATGCTACGTGCGCTGGACAATGATATTAGCAGTATTAACTTGTTTCATCCATTTTTTCGGCAAGCATGAATGATTAGGCAATTCTCAGCTGCTACCATACAATGGGTTTGAACCAAATTTTCCTGAAAGATGTAAATTTTTTATATTCATTAATAGAGGTGTGATTATGGTTCTATTTTATCTATTTTTGTTCGCATGCTAAGCCGTTCATTTCATTCGAAAATCTGCAGCTAACTCATGTCTCACAATTTCCTGGGTAAATCAAATGAAAGATTTGAGTCTCTCTCTCTAAATCTCAATTGAAGTCACGGGGTTTACACGAATTTTCCTGAACGGATGGATTGAAAAACATGGGTTATAATTAGGGATGGCAAATGGGTGGGTTGGGTTGGGTTGGATATGAGTTGGGTTGAAGATGGACGGGTCAATCTGGGTCAAGATCCATATTCAACCCGTTCAGAAGGGTTAAAATGGACGGGTTGAAAATGGACAAGATCGACCCGTTATGACCCGTAAACTCATTAATTATTATTTATATTAATTATTAATTATTAATTATTAATTTTATTTTTTATTTTTTTAATTATTTTAACACTAAAGAAATACTTTTATTATTATTTTTTGAATGATGTGCATTGCATTTTTTTTTTTTTTAAATTATTTTAACACTAAAGAACTTCACATGCGACATTCCAGGAGTACCTCATCTTTTGAATATCATCCCAGTTCAACAACTCAACTGGAGCTTTTGACTTTGAAATTTTTTTTTTTTAGGTAAAATTTGACTTTGCAATTTCCATTTGCTCTGTTTACAAAAAGGCAAAAGTAATTAATTACAATGTTAATCATGGGTTTGGTTTACAATAACCTGTGTGAATACGCAAGGGTGGTTGAGTCATGAAAATTGAAAATTTAGATTGGTCAAAACTTGACTTGATATCAGCATAATCGAATAATATCATTAAATAAATTTTTTTTTTTTTTAAATTTAGATTGGTCAAAACTTGACTTGGTACAAAATACTTGTTACATATGTATATATATATATATGTGTGTGTATATATATATATATATATATATTTTTTTTTTTTCGGAAGGTTTTAAAATTTATTATTATTTTTTTAATTTTTAAATTTTTAAAATTATTTTAAATTTTTTAAAATTATTTTTTAACTATTTATTTTTTTTAAAAGAAATTTCTAGAGAGAAGAGATTGATGAGAGATAAATTTAGAGAGAGAGGATTGTGAGTGATAGAATTTTAAAGAGAGAAATGACTTGAGTGCAATATAAAATAGATGTGTGTTATATATTTGTTATGTGATGGGTGAAATATGGGTTGAATATGGTTATTTTATCCATCTTGACCCTCATATTAAGTGGTTAAAAATTATCCAACCCATCTTGATTCTCAATTAAATATGATTGACCTATAACCATTAAAAAGCGGGCGAATATGGACGGGTTGATGATTACTGACCCATTTTGCCACCCCTAGTTATAATGAAGCAGCCCATTGTTCATAGTATATATAATTCTGCATTAAGGGTCAATTCTCTTAGAATAATTCATTCGATTCCATGCCTGTGCATGCAAATGAATACCATTAGGCATGTGTGTATGTGCGCGCGCATGAGTGAATATATATATATATATATATATATATATATATGTAGCACCTGTCCTCACAAACTGAAGAAATGTGTGCACAAATCAGTGCCTCTAGGAGACTGTCATTGGAAAGCTTCACAAAATGTACATAATATGACTGCACTGCACGTAGCGCTTATATACCCAGGGGCCAACCAAGAGAATACTTGGGTATGCCGTAAAAACGTACATTGTGAGGACAATTGGCATGATCTCGTTTGCCACGTCAGCCATCATCCATGGTTTTCCCTCTCTTTTCCTAATCTAGAAGCTGTAGTGTTGCAAAAAGAAAGAAAATATTTTGAGGAAGATCAAAGGCCTTTCTGCTTGAGAGCTTAAGACTCCGTGGACAGAATTTCAAGACTTCAAAAGAATGAGAAGGGAATATTTTTCTGACTCGGAAGTACGGTTTGCTTTTCCATATCTAGTTCTTGAAAGCTAATACTACAAGTAGAGAACTGCTTACTACAAGAGGGAGCTTGACTTTAATATCAATATTCTGATGGACGAAAAGATACGAGATCTTGAGCTACATATACAACACATTTATTCTTCTAACAACCTTAAACAGTGTAGTAGTTCGAGAGACAAACAAACGTAAATGAAAAGAATTCGCAAATAGATGAAGGGTGTTGAGACCTTAGAGGTCTGTGGAAGGGTGAGAGCTGGAGCAAATAGCCAGACAACAAAGGACCAGGAGGCAACTGCCATCCCTTTAATCAAAGGTCCAAGCGTCATGTGTCCTTCATTGGGCTATTTGGTCACGAGTCATGACACGATCTAAGCACATCCAAAAGAATTAACTGCAGTACATGCTATAGCGAGGTTCTAATGTGTCTTGACAAACCTCTAACTCAAAGCCGCCAAACTACATACCCCCAAGGTCAAGTGAATTCTGAAGCAATACACGAGTGCCGTGAGTTACAACGGTCATGGCATGATGTGCACGCTACATATATGACATGAGGACCGCGGTTTGATACAAATTACCTAGGAGTTTGTGTCCATTCATCATCCCACAGCCTTAATTTGGATCATATCCCCAAATGTCCGAAGGACCATAATATATAGTTCTTATCATAGTCATAACTACAAAAGTCCAAAATTTACAGAGTAATCATTCAACTTCCGTGTTCATAACATCAGAATTAATGATAGTATTGTTGTGAGTAGTCCAAAATAGGAAGTGATGCTAAGGAAAGGAGGAATTTTGATCAGTGGCGTGAGTTCTCAACTTCGAAAGAAACAAACAAAGTATTGGTTGGATAGGTCTGATGGCAATGGAAATTGTAAAGTCTGGAAGCCCTGTTAGATAGCATACTTGAAGTGAACAATTTTATTTATTTATTTTCCTATAGTTTACGTACTAACAAATCCATGAAAGATTAAACATACCAAAAAAAAAAAAACTATTGAGGCGATGAAAGATGTCGGAACAATACAGTATAAATCTTCTTATCACAAAGGCTTCATATATATTATCATCGTCATTACTTGCAGGTAATTACATCATGTATTACATAATCGTACCTGACTCAGATGATATCCAGTGAGAAGTTTTTTGGCAGTAGACAGGGTATATATTTGGTATCCTACAATTGCTATATAACATTCGCGCCATGTGTGGGGGCTATTCTTGTTTCCTTTCAACTTCCAGAGAAATCTCGTTACGACGATTAAAAGGGAGTGTAAATGGTGGATTATACTGCAGCCATGTATGCAAATAAATTAAGTCATTCAAAGCAGCATTCTGTACATTAATGCATAGGGTATCCGAAGATTTTTTTTTTTTTTTTTTTGGTCTTCTAATTGATATTTTGTTTTAAAAAAAAAAATACCTGTGCAACTTCCGCTGATGCATCCTTCTTTACTTGAAATTGAGTATCATTCTTCAGAGCCTTCCGTAATGTTGATTCCTGGCGCTTCACTACTTCATCAGTGACAAAGCCTGGCCAAGTCAATTCTAACATGTCATTCTAGCCATACTGTTGGTGACTTGAATTTCAATGCACACCACAAATTAGCAAAGCAAAAAGCTTTACTCATCCAATCTAATGATATGCCTTTCAGTTATATCTTACCAAAATATGAAAAATTGTGCTGTGTGATAGCTCATAGCTATTCTCATACAATAAATTCTTTTTTTTCGAATTCTCAATCACATAATTGAAATGTATGCACACACACACATATGAATATATATAACTCATGCAGACCTTCACATGCATTGATATTACACAAATGATCCAAAATTATAAATTATTTACATTCACTGTTCTAATTTTTGGACAAACTCATCACTAATGTCAATTTTAAATGCAGAATTAAGTTTTAAATTCATCAGATGATAATAATCAAGGAAAACATCATAGACTTTCACATACCCCTCTCTAACCCTGATGTTTAAAGCTTTTTGGTTTGAGGGAAGAACAAACCTGAGAAGGCTGCAACCACAACAATTTTCCCGGGCACCTCTTTGATCCTCACAGATGGATCTTTTGGCAATGGCAAATCAGAACCATACTTAGTAGGCATGACAAAAGACATCTGCCACCCATCTTGATCTTTCAGCTGAATAAGATTAAAACTGGATAAGATCATGATGACAAAACTAAAAATATTTAAATTTGAAAAAGAAATTTGATTAAGTACACTTTAACTACCAAATTGACCTACTGCTGCCCCTTAAACTGAGTTGGCAGCTGTTTTTTATTTTTTATTATTATAGTTTGACCATATCAGATAGACAATCAAACATCAATAAATAAAATGTTGATTATCATGTCAGATCATTCAAAATGATATGAAATTACCATGAAAAAGAGGCAGCTGACAACATGATGCAAATGCAAAGCATTGGAATTTCAGAGATCTCTTTAGTGTCAGGCTGTCAGCTAAATATATGAGCCATATATTATCCAATCAACAAAATTGTGATTAAAAAATATATATATCAACGAAGTGAATGAGACAAATCCATGATTTAGATTGTAATGTTATTATTGAGCCTACATCATCTTAAACCAATTAAAAATTTGATATTCTTAACTTTGAACCTTATCTATAAGAATGGAAAGGAAATATGCAAATTATTTTTTATTTTTTTGTGAAGTTTTCAAAATTGAATAAATTCATTCTAATTTCAACCGGGCTTGCAATTTATGCCAAATCCAAGTGAAAACCATGGGTCCTCAAAGCTTTCGATCATTTAATAGGGACAGGGATGATGATTTTCTTATACACTAATAATATGGTCTAAGTCATTTCTAATAAATGAGCAATAGGTAATACTGAGTAGGTGTCCATGTAAAAGACTTACCTTCTTGGTGAACACAGGTGTTGTCATTTCCATTTTCTCCCCATCAGCTTGAATCCTGCGAGTAATAACTGGTGTTGTCATTTCCATTTTCTGCTTTGTTGTATTCTGAAAACAGTGTGTTAAGTAAATAAGCAAACAACATTACAATTAGCTACATTAGATTCAGACATGGAAATGATTTTATTCTCAAAAGCTCTATCGAACAGTTAAAGTACCTTACCAAACAGGTACTCAGCTAATACGTTGAAGGACAGCGATGCACCGTTGAAATCAAATCCATCTTTCCCAGGCATTGTTGTTTCAGCTATAAAGTAAGGCTGCTTCACAATTACAGTCCTAATTAGTTGATACATATGAACATGAGGACAACACGCTAAAGAAACTGGGGCAAAACGCCTCAAAAGCACATTTAACCAAAAAAATTAAGGGGAGAGAGTATGTGATGTCCCATATTGCCTGGAGGGAGAGGTTATTAAGACTTACATGTGTGAATCTCTCCTAACTATGTAGACGGGTTTTGAAAGGCATGAGGACGGAGATTGTGCAAAGCGGACAGTAACTACGCAAGGTGGGATAGGTCGTAACAGACGCATTTGGTCAGCACGAAAAGTGTGCAAAGCAGACAATACGTACACAGGGTGGTATGGTACTTAGTGGGACAAGTCGTGACAGAGTAGCTGTCCATTACTATAACAGGCAAGGGTTGACAACAATAAGCAACTTAAAGTTGCATCCAAAAATTATCATTCACAGAAACAAGCAACATAAAGATGCATCCAAAAATTATCAACCATCTTAAAGGGATGAACTCATTGACTTCTTCTATATTCTGTCTCTCTTTTCCATGAAAAAATCATTTATCTATTTTTTGAAACAAGGATAAAGCTTCTCCGTATGCGGAGGTAAGACTAAATACACCTGATCCTCCTCAAACTCTACAATGACTAGATTCTCGTGCATTGTGCCCTTTAACCAATAGTGTGAATTATCAATAACCCAAACAGTTAAGAGTATTATAGGAAACACACTCAGCAATTCTACAAGCACCATATCAGCATCTATGGGAAATAGTACTTAGTGCCTGTTGGATGCACTAAATTATACTAACAGAAATAATAACAACAACAACAACAACCAAGCCTTTTCCCAATTACTTGAGATTCACTACATGAATCGTTTCGCTATATTTAAGGACATAGCCCTAGTCAAGAGACTAACTGCAAAAAAAAAAAAAAAAAAAAAAAAAATTTCAAAAAAAAGGAGCACTAATTCATACCTCAACTTCTCTTATCTCATACTGATCTTTCCGGCTCAAAACCTTGAATTTCACCGTTTCAAGATCCGGAACTAAAGAAAAGCCGATAACCACAACAAATAATCGAAAAAGGTACCAAGAAATTATATATATATATATATATATATATATATATATATATACGAGTTACGAATTCATTAAAAAAAAAAAAAAAAAAAAAAAAAATCACAATAAATAATCAAAAGAGATAACATACCCGTCATCAAAGCTTCCTCTAAATTCCGACTCTCGAACCTTCTCTGTGGAAACACATATTTTGCTGTTTCAGTGGCCAAATCCATCAAGACTGCAATAAATTGAAAAACATAGATGGCCTAAATATATATCATTGAAACAGATCACAACCAAAACTAGAAGTACTGAATTGATTTTGGAATTGAATAGCAAAAGATGATGACATTTACGTCGCTGTGAGAGAGAAGAGGTTTGGGCGGCCAGAGCGAGAACGAGAGAGACTCGAGCTTCGAAACCGGACATGTTGGTTCTTCTCTGAGGAGGAAGAGTAGTAGTATTACCACTGATGTTGGAACTTTTATCAGTGGCCATCGATTTGATGTATAAATTTTGAGTGATCATTCGAGGTCCTGCGCAGAAAAGCATTTTGGTTGCTTCTTCAGCTTCTCTTTAAATTTCTGTTGCGAACCGGGTGAGAATGAGTGGTGGTTAGACTTTTCCCCAATTTTTCTATTTATGCGATCATTTACAAATTGACATCTATGAAATTTTAATTAAGTTAAAATTACTATTAAGTCCAACTTTTCTCATTAAAAATAAATAAATTAGGAAAATTTTCTTTAGGGGTACTATTCCTTCTTTTTGAATTTTTCTTTTTCTTTTTTCATTTAAGTCCCAAGTCACTAAATCTTTCACTTATACCCTTATAAAATAGAAATAAAATTTTGTAATTATAAATTTATTCAAAAATTAGTATGTGTTTAAGTTTTAGTTACTTGATAATATTTGATCATGAGTTTAAATAATAATTAATATAATTTACATTAAATTCAAAAACTTTTGTATAGAATACACCAGTTTAGCATCATCTAAAAGTTTGATTTTATATCTAAGTTGGCAAAATTATACTATCTAATTTAGTAAGGGTCTAAGTGTAGAATTTATTGATTTAGGACTTAAAAAAAAAAACACAAAAATCTCAAAAGTAGGATGTATTGGTCCTAAAGAATATTTTTTGGGGTTTGTTCGTATTTCAATATACAGTACAAACGTAGGATTTGATGGTAACTTTCTTTTTATTTATTTTACATATATTCTAACTTTAACGAGACTTGGAGGAATACTCCCGGTCGGCTAAACCACTTAAATTAAGTGGTGAAATGTCAAGCTTATCCTCACTTTTTCAACCATATTTTATTCCAAAATATTTGAAAGAAGCAAGAAGGGAAAGATGGAGTACTTGACTAGGGCTATCATTTGAAACCAATATTTGCTAGCACTTGAGGGAATTTTGAATTTGACCTAGCTTAAGAGCTTGTTTGGTTGTTTTCTTTGAGGTAAGGATTTCTAATGTCTCAAACTTTGTCTTTCATTGAGTACTCTTATTTTGACTCATTTTTAATTTTATTGATTAATGCAAGTTTGTGACTAGATTGATAATTGAATGAGGATATGTTAAAAACATGCTTATGTGTGATGAAAAAGGTGTCGTACTATACTGATAAGTACTGAAAAGTGTGCATTTAAACACTTGATCTTGAGTATATTAAGACCTTATTCTATCTTATTTTCCCGCTTTAGTCTTATTTTACGTTTTTCCCCCTTTCAGGTGCTTAAGGCTAAAACAAGCTAATTCCAATGTCTTAAAGCCTTTAGGAAGTCAAACTAAGTCTTAGCAAGGAATGGGAGCAAAAGGAGGTTGAAGATGGAAATTTCCTGTTTTATCGATCCAACTTGGATCGATCCAACAACCTGATGTGTGATCGATCACACTTAAGGTTGGATCGATCGAACTGTTCACAGAAGCTATACAAAAGCAGATCTAAAGCTCATTTCGAACCAACTCAGGCTGTGCTTGAAAGGGGATATCCTTAGGACGAGTTTTGACCTATTTGGGCTCAAAAAGTCTTGTATAAAAGAGGGATTGAACCATTTTTGTAGAGAGATTCATACTTTACATTGTAATTTTTATATTTTCATTAGTTTTTGATGCGAGTGTGCCGCCTTAACACATCAAGCTTAAGAGTGTGTGGATTTTAAGGCGAGGGCCAAGAGTTTTACATTTATAGAAGCCACATCTACCTTTCACTATAAATATAGTTAGGGCGAGTAGGGATCATCCCAATGGATTGTGAGGATCGAACAATGTCGTGGAATCGTTATTAGGGCTAGTAGGTCGAGTGATCAAACAATTGGTTGGTTGGTTGATTAGAGAGCAACTAAATTCAACTAAGTGATACCAAAGAATGCAATTAAGAGTAAGTAATAGAGAGAGAGAGAGAGATCTTGGGGTTTAGAGATCACCACCAAGCAATGCACTTCTATACCATTGACAAGTGACTAATGAGGGCAAATGGTGTGTTGCAATATTTGTGTGTGTGTGTGTGTGGTTGATTCAACAAGCAATGATGACTAGTTAAGCATATATTGTCTAAACATCATGTGAAAGGCACAATATATTTAAGCAATGAAGCATATATTGTCTAAATAACATGTGAAAGGTACAATAGATCAAAACAAGTCATTAATCCTTTAATTAAGCTCACAATCCAAATACAACACAAGGATAGAGATATATGCTACTTGCATTCAAAAGCTTAGATCATCAAACAACAAGCATAGATTGTCCTCCCATTTAACACTTCACTATAACTACACTATATCTACACTACTAGCATGAAAATAAACTAGGGGAGAGGCACAAACCATCAATGAATAAGTATGAACCATCAAGAGAATCACAAGAGTATTCCTTTAAGCACTATGTTTTGACAATATCCAAATCTATAGCATCAATACACATAGACATGCATCAATAACACAAAATCTAGAGACAAGCACATGAACATCTACTCTAGCATACATAGACATATGGATAGAATGAAATGATCAATTAGAAGCATTAAACAACATAATTCATTGAATAAATAAGATCTATATATATCAAAGTGTCAAAACATGAATTACAACACTAATCCCTCAATAATACACAAGATTACGATATAGAAAGCATGCTTGGGGCTAACTCTAGTCCCAAGAGGATGTCTAGCCACTCATGGTGATGTTGCTCCAACTCTTAAGGGCTAACTCCATCGTTGAAATCTGCTCCTTGTTGATGAAGAACTCCAATGGTGTCTCTAGCCTCCTCTTCCTCTATGCTTCCTCTCCAAGAGATGATATGAAAAATGAAATTGGCTTTTCCTTATAAAAAACAATCCTTATCCTTATATAGGTAGGTCAAAATGATGCCCAAAATGAGCTGGGGTCGTGCACACAATATTCCCTAATGATTGGATAAAGGACAACTTTTAATGAGATGAAAATTTAACCATTTCGCATTGGAGGAAGTTCGATCGATCGAACCTTGGACTTGGATCGATTGAACTTGCTGAGATCCATCGAACTTAGGCTGGATCGATCTAATTGGTTGAGCTTTTTGGGAAAAGACAAATCCGAGATATTTTGGGAGATATTTATGGGAAAATGACAAAAGTGGTTAGTGGGTGGTATAGCTGTGGATAGGATCAATTATTTGAATAAGGACAAAAGTGTTCGATCGATAGAAGGGTGGTGTTGGATCGATTGAACTTTTTGGACTTTATACTTTTGGGCCAAGGCTTGGATCTATCTTGAAGTGCTGAGATCGATCATTGTTCGATCGATCGAACCTTGAAGTTGGATCGATCGAACTTTGCTGCTTCCTACCTTTGGCTTCATTTGCTTTCTTCTTTCTCCACTTTGCTTCTTTCTTTGTTTGATCCCAGAATTGCTTCAATTAAGCTCTTATTTAGCTGAGTTAGCTTATTTTCGGGATAAGTGTTTGAAAATGGAAATAATACGAAATCAATCTAAAACGGTAAAGTAAGATAGATAAAGGTATTAGAATGCCTAAGCTTAAGGGGTTTAAATACGCACTTTTCAGCGCTCATCACACCCCCAAACTTAAATATTGCTAGTCCCTAGCAATGAACTAGAAAGTAAAGGAATGAAACGAACAACTATAGAAGTATGAATCTAGAAAACAATAAATAGATAACGCCACTTTCGTAGGGAACACGATTGCACTTAGCATATGCAACAAGCCTTTTAAACCCATAGGTTACCCCTAGTGGACGAGTGAAGTCTCGTGAGGGTTTCTAGAAATGGTACCCACAAACATTAAGCTCATTCTTTCAAAAGAGGTACCAATATTGCAAACAAGTATTGGGAGAAAACTACCTCAAGTATGCAATGTTTCAAATATTTTTGAGCAATCTCCCAAAATTTCAACATCAAGCAAGCAAATATGGTCCTCCACACATCAAGAAAATGATCATGCAAATCAAAACAACTCTAGAATTCTTTTTGAGTAGACCGGCATCAAATGTGTTGCTATCTAAGTGAACTAAAGAATTAATCATGTCCTTACCCTCAAACTAACACACAAATCTAGTACCGATCATCAAGACAAAAAGTGAACCTTTTATTAAAGCTTTATTGTTCTAGGTGCGCTTAATTTTTTCACTCGATTTTTTTTTTTTTTTTTTATTTTTATAGGATCAAAGATGGAAGCATGGTGCAATGTGTTGATCTATTAAGCTTTCTAGCGATTCATGAGGTCGAGCGTTAGGTCAATGACTCCCAAATCAGACGACTTTAGGGCATTAGGTATTTAAATACCCCTACGGACTTACAAGCTCAAATCAACTAGGCTACAAATTAAGACAACAACCATCTAATCATTTCCCACTTCTCACCTTTTGGGAAAAGTCCTCACTTTTTATTACTTTTGCTTTTTTTTTTTTTTTTTTTTTTTTAATATTCAATTATTAACCTAGAGTTTGGGCCCTCCACCTTTCGGCGCGAGAAGTTCAGTACTTGATGAGGGTAGAATCCCGGCTACTTAGTGAAAATGGATTGTTATCCACCTATATTAAGAATGAAAGCTTTCAATGCACTACTAGCTCAATTGGGATATAACCAATTCAATAATCAACAAAGCATGTACCCCACAAATGAATGCTAGTGTGCGCCGGTGCTAGTGTAGAATCCTAGAATGAATCTCAAAATAATCACAAAATCAAGATGATTTGGACTATAAGTGCAAGCAAGATATCAATCTTTCAAAAAATTTACTCCTAAATGGCATTCATAAGGTATATAAGGAGTATTGGACTCTCAAGTCAAGCAATTTTTAAATTTTAAGCAATATAGTCCTCAAAAGATCAAAATCATAGCTAGATATGGACCAATCATAGAAATATCCCTCAAATTCACAAGTCATGCTCAAAATTATTTCAAAATTTAAAGCTAACACTGCAAAGCACCATCCTCCCCAAACTTAAATTGCACAATGTCCTCAATGTGCAAGAGAATAAGGGAAAGAGTATACCAGTGCAACTAAGCAAGAATGATCGGGACTGAAGTATCCGAAGTGGGTGGCATGGCCCCCCCAAACTTGGGATGAACTGTGGTCTTGAAAATTGACACTTGGATAAACTCATCAGATAACAAAATGGGATAA